ATTATGGGCCCTGCAGATAACTAAATTCTGAAGCCCCAGAGTTCCAAAGCCAGCTTTGCTGTTTATAGACACTCAAAACTCAGAATACTAGCTCAACCACCCAAAGTTTTCTTTAAACACAACTCAAATTACCATTAACACCAACAACTAATTCAGTCACTATGCTCAACTGTGTTTGGGGATTTCCACAAGCAGAGGCAAGCTAAGCTTGAAATAGCTGCCCCAGAGACCATGGCATCAGACCCTACTCTAGCCTCTAATAGTTTAAATCAAGACCAAGCTTATGAGCTCCAGTCCCAGCGAGCCTTTCCTCTGAATGTCCCACTCAGTAAAAGAAACCACATTAGATTCAGTGAGGAATATAACAGTACAAAAATAAAGACTGTTGAATGAATCAGGAAAACAGAAACATAAAGCTAAGGTCACACAAGAAATAGTTATTAGAAATAGTTATCAGAAACAGTATTATACACAGTGGTCCAAAGATATCAGACTGGCTGGGTGATGAGGACCAGTTTATGGGCAGAACCTGAGCTAGGCAGGAATGAGAGGCAGGAGCCAATACAGAAAAGATGTACAGTCAGAGCGCTTAGCCAGAGCACAGGCCGGAGCTACCAGAAGTACCTGACCAGAAGTCACAGTACTGAGCGCCAGGAAAGCATAGGGTCAAACAGAGACAGTTTTGAATGCCTGGCCAACGGGTCAAGCCTAGTCCAGAGAGTGGCTTAGGAAAATTAACTATGGTGTGTAGAATCAACCAGAGAGAATGGCATTAAAAAACCTAATAAAAATAGCTGGGCATGGTGACATATGCCTGTAATCCCAGCACTGGGAGGCTGAGGAGGAGGACTGTTTCAAGTTCAAGACCAGCCTAGGCTGCACAGTGAGACCCTGTCTCAAACAAAACAAAACAAAAAACTCAATAAACAATTGAAATCTAGAAACATAATAATAGTTTTCTTTTAAATTTATGTATTTAGTAACAGGGTCTCACTATGCAGCTCGGATTCCTAGCTGATTCCTAGCTGATCCTGCTGTTTTCAACCTCCCCAGTGCTGGGATTATAGGCATGCACCAACAGGCCCAGACTGAAACATAAGAATTAAAGGCAACACCTGACCCATAACTGAAACTGGGATTTTATAACCATGATCTATAATGTGACATATATGTAATATTTTATTATATATGATATACACATATATATGTCACTGTTGGGCAATGTAAATGTGAACTATATTGGAAAGCAATATTCATTAATGTCAATTGCAAAAGTACATTAAATATATATCAGAATGAGACAATTTTTTGTTTGGTTTCCTTTTGAGCCAGGGTCTCACTATATGGTCAGGCTGTCTGGCAGCAGGAATGCGGTGGTGTCTAGTCTTTCCCTAGCCTGCTATTGAGGTACATGCTTGCACCAGGAAGGTCACAGGACCTAGAGAGCTGGGAACTGGTGGAATTTCTGACCGTGATGTGGGAGAGTCTGCAAGGAAGACACAGAACTCAGTGATGTTTTATGGCCTTGTGATGATGGCCTGCTGCCTATATAAGTAAAAGAAAACACAAGCAAAACCTTGTGTCTTTTATCAATAGAAGATATATCTGAATTAGCATCTACTTCACATGAAGACAAAGATAAGTCTGAAATTGCACCCAGAGAAAGTCCCTTCAGGAAACACCTTCAGACAGTCTCCAAATGACTAGGGCGGGCAGACTGGCTCTGTCACTGTCACTTCAAACCCCCAGTGAGATAAACAGTCATTTCCCAACACCACATGAACAACTAAAAATAAAGTTTTGTGGGGTATTTTTGTTTGTATGTTCCTGTCTTTTTGTTTTGAGACCAGGTCTCACTCTGTAGCCCAAGCCAACCCTAAAGTTGCTATGTTGCCCCACTTGGCCTTGAACTCGAAATCCTCTTACCTCAGCCTAAGCACTGAGACTACAGGTATCCATCACCACACCTGGCTAAAAATAGTTCTATAAACTGTAAACAGAACCTACAACACCAGCAAAATACTTTATACAACTCATGTGAAGATATGACATATAAGGAAAGGGACATTTTTATGGCCTTTTATTTCTTCTTAAAGCCATGTCTGATAAAATAGCTAGGACTGGATTACTTTACTGCCCCATCAGACAACCTCATGAATATTTTAAAAGCAACATAAGAATGAGACAAAAAGTGATGATTACCTCAGCAGAAGGAAAAAATTTTGATAAATTTTAACATCTTTTTACTATTTAAATCCCTTAGCCTGCTGGGTGTGGTGGTTCACTCCTCTTATCCCAGCACCAAGGAGGCTGAGACAGGATGATGGTCATGAGTTTGAGGCAAGCCTGTGCTACCTAGTGAGTTTAAGGCCAGCTCTGAACTACACAGTGAGACCCTGTCTCAAAATATAAAAAAAAAAAAAAACCATAAAAGCCCTTAGTCACCAGTAAGAAAAGGGAAGAAGCATATTTATAAAACAAGCTCTAGCAAATACTACACTGCACAGCAAAGGACAGAAGGGCCCTAGGAAACCAGGGACATGACCTGCTGCCCTCCCTGCTTGTATTCCACCCACCCTGGAAATCCCTGGTCAGCAAAGAAGACAAAACAGACACAAAGGGATGAGGTTTGTTGTTTTTTTGTCTTCTTGAGACAGTGTCTTGCTATACAGTTCAGGGTGGCCTTGAACTCACTTTGTAACCCAGGTTGGCCTTGAACTCACAGTAATCCTTCTGATCCTCCTGCCTCAACCTCTCAAGTTCTGGGATCACAGATGTGTGTGCCACCATGCGCAGTTTAACCATACGGATCAAAGCAAAGTAAGTAAAATTTCTACAGATCAAATATGAAAATCAGCATCTTTAACACAACTAAGGGAGGCTGTATCCATCCTTCCATAACCACAGAAGCAGGAGAAAAGCAACATTTGTGCACAGGGTCCTATAGTGTTACCTACAAGTAACACAGGTCACATCTACATTTCATTACCTACATTCACATAGCTATACCTAAGATACAGATAGATAATTTCATCCTGTATCCCAGAAGGGAAAGAATTGGAAATCACTTTGTCAACAATACAGAGAACATATCTTCTGGTCGGGATATGAGGCAGTGAGAACACTTACCCCAAATGGTGCGACTATAAACTGACACAACACTGTGGAAGAGGCTACTCACAAAAAAAAAGAGTAATTCTCGCAAATAATATCAAGCAAAGAAGTAACTGGGATTCTGCATGTCTCCTCAGAAGCACACTCAGGGCTGACTACACCCTGAGAAACCTGGCTGCAGGGAACGCTGTACTCCCAGAGAAGGGAGCAGCACCGAAGCCCACCTTTGCAGCACACCCACAGCTGTCTCTCTGTCACTGGGCACTTGACACTAGCAGACAAGCTCTTACAGACAGGTGCCACACAGAGGCAGCTAAGCACTCTGGGTTCCTCTTTGCTGGTAAGCTACATTCACATTGTTGGGTACAAAGGGACAGCACTGAGAGGAGGGGGTGAGCAGTCACCTTGGCAGAGTCCCACCACAGGGACAAGGTGGAGGTGAGAGACCTGTGTCTTCCATTGTCTTGTTTGGAAAACTGCCCTTGTCCCAGTAAAATCTATCCCTTAATCTATATATTGAAAAATTTATCCCTGGCCCAATGAGTCATGGGCAGTATCCACAAAGGACACCAGTTTGAACACCACGAGGCAGCTCCTTACGTAACACTTCAAGTTTCACAAAAATGTTTCAAAGTAAGAACAGTAAGGCATATAACCCTTGTTTTCCACTAGTACAGAGGGGAAGCCAATTTGCATGATGGGTGTCCTTGACAGAAATGAATGGGGTAAGAGCACCATAGCTCAGGGGTATAGCGCCTGTCTGACATGGACAAGGTCCTCAGTTCAGTTTCTGGTACCAAAAAAAAAACCTCTGCCGAGCACATTCTACTCCTCATGCCTGTAAGGACCTGAGGCTGGACAGCTGGGGTTTCTGGGATGAATTTAAATGAAAGGGCAAGCTAGTGATACCTCAAGAGCTTCAGGGAGCCCAGTATCTACAGAGGAAAAAGGAATCTGTGATTCTCCCAAGCCTGGCAGCTGCTGGAGCCCAGAGCTGAACCGGTGCTGGGAGAAAAGGCCATTCCTTTTCACCAGCCCAACAGGACCTTGATACCTGACAAGTCACTGAAACTGAAGGCCTTGCTGCACATAGCAATAAAGTCCTCCAGATGACAATGCCAGCTACAATGAACCTGAGATATGGAACTGCTTTGTCATAATAAAAACAAATGACTAAAGAGCACTGCCTGGAAATGAGCAGCAGCCTCCCCAAAATCCTAACTCCTTCCAAAGGCCACAGACTAGAGTGACAACAAGCAGCTGAGTCACTGAGGAATATCACCAAGATAGCATGCACCCTCCTGGAAAAAACAAAACCAACATTCCATCCCAGCTCTCTGGCTCCCTCCTGGGTTTAATCTGGCAATGTCCTAGCAAAACAAACCTTAGACACTTGAGGCCATTTCAATTCTGCCACCACCACGTATGCTTCCCTCATGTCATTTGACCTGACAGTATTTACAGATATATTAATTACTATCTCTTTCCTGAGGAGAGAGATAAATTTTACCTGAGTTATATATTCCAAAGTTTCACTATCACTGACCTAGGGTTAGCAAACTCATTTAATAACACAAAACTGTCTCTCACCTTTGTTTCGGTAGCCAGTTATTCTACTGTCATTGCTGCCCTATACCAAGCACTCTGTCTGTGAACAGAGGAACCATGATACAGAACCAGTAGTAATCTTGCAGTACATGTTCAAACTATTACAAGCCAGACATTATAGCACACGCCTGTAATCCCAGCTCTCAAGAAGTATGAGATCACACAGCAAGTTGAAGGCTGGTATGAACTACATAGTAAGGCCCTATATAGGCAAATAAACAAAAAACTGGTAACAGTTTAGCAAAAGACACTCCAGCTTATGAAGTTACTGAACATACCTTATCCATATGGAAGATCAAATCCAATTCACAAACATTTTCAAAACACTTATCCAGAGTCTCCACAAAAACCTAGAAAACGAGAGAAGGATAAAGAGAAATAAGGGCCTGGGAAGATGGCTCAGTAGGATAAGCACTTGCCCGGCAAGTGCAGGGTCCTGAGTTCAATCCCCAGTACCGCAAAAAGAGAGAGAGAGAGAGAGAGAGAGAGAGAGAGAGAGAGAGAGAGAGAGAGAGAGAAATAAGAACAGATTCAAATATGTCATACTTCAAAATAACAGAGAATCCTGGCACTATTTATACTGAATCTCAAAAATAAACAAACGAACTCTCTCTTTTGTTTCCTGCAAAAGCTGACTATTCTGCTTATCCCAGTTCAGGGGGACCATCTAAGACAGGAAAACCTTGTTGATTTGATGTATCGATATAGCCACAAAATTTTCATTATTAGCCTTAACATAGTTCTATCTGTTCATTTAACAGTAACTTGAAAATATCTGTGGCATGGCTTAATGACAGCACTTAGGGGGCTGAGGCAGGAAGAGTTTAAAGCCAGCAGGCCCTGTCTCAACCCCTCTGCCCAAATCTATGAATCAGTTTGATACAGATGTATACAATTTTAACTTTTTAGTATAACATCAGAAAATGAATGTTTTCATATGAATGTTTATAAATGAATAAGTGAAATAATCAAATAAACTCTATCCAAATATCATCTTTGTTCCTGTGGTGCTGGGGATGGAATCATGACCTTGTGCATGCCAAGCCAGGCAAAGGCTACCACTGAGCTATTTCCTCCAGCTCTTCCTGTCCTTTCTTATCTCTTTCTCAAGAGAATGACCTAATGTCAACAGAGTCCCTGTCATCAATGTCATCAGTTGTTTAGCACTGCATGAAAATGCGTTTTATGCCTGTGATCCCAGCACTAGGGACACTGAGGCAAGAGGGTCACTGCCTTGATTTCAAGGTCAGCCTGAACTGCACAAAGCCCTGAGTTCAATATGCAGGACCACATACATACACACACACACACACACACACACACACCCCACAAGGAAAAAGCATTTCCTCACTTCACAGCCCTAACCAGTCTCTCTGGAGAATGATGTGTGCTGGACTCTCTCCCTTTCATCTTTTCTCTCCCATGGGCCATCTCTGCTCAATCTGAAAAAAACTACCTAATCTTTCAAGTCTTCAACCATGATTTGTTTCCAGCTCCCGTCTGTTATTTATTTATTTATTTATTTATTTACTTACTTACTTACTTACTTAGAGACAGGGTCTCACTTAGTAGTCCTGGCTGGCCTCGAACGCAAAGCTATTCTCCTGCTTCAGCCTCCCAAGTGCTAGGATTACTGGTGTATGCCACCATTCCTGGCTCCAAATTTTTATTTATTTATTTATTTTTATTTTTATTTTTATTTTTTTGCGGAACCGGATTGAACTCAGACCCTTGCACTTGCCAGGGAAGCACTTATTCTACTGAGCCATCTCCCCGGCCCCAAACTTTTTTTTTTTTTGTGGAACCAGGGATTGAACTCAGTTCCTTGTGCTTGTCACGCAAGCACTTACTCTACTGAGCCATCTCCCTAGCTCAAATTTTTAATTTCTAAGCAATAACTTTGTTCTTAGTATTTCTATCTGTTAAGCACCCATCTTTCTTTTTTCTCTGCAGCTTTAAGGACAGGCTGTTTGGAGTTTTTTTAGTTTTCCTTTCTTTGCATGGTGTCCACTTCATCCAAGATGCTTTTTACTTTTTGTTCATTTTGTCTCTTTATTCCACATTACAAGTGTTCATCAGCTGCCTTGTTTTTCACTCATAAAAATAAAAGGCTGATTAGAAGAGCTCTACAATCATGTCTACAGGTTGAGGATTTCCTCAGTCCCTGTAAATTTTCTTTTTCGTTACATCAGTCAGATTTACCAGTGGAATCATGTGCTCTCCAGCCTGGAGAGTAAAGGACCGGAGAAAAGATGTGGGTCTGAGTAGAAGGTGGGCTGGAGAGAGGATCAGGACACACACAGTCACTTAGTCCCCTGCCCTGTCCCGTATTAAGTATGAGCCCTGGTGCCCCGAGACTTCCTTCACTCTCTGCAGGGAATAAACCTTGAGTTTTGTGCTTTGGAAAGAGCAACTGAGCTGACAACTGGAACTGGAGAAGGAACAGAGAAGGATTAATTGCATCTTGGAGGCTTTCTCTGTCCACTTCACACTGAGTGAGGCCAATGTTTTTCTTACTTATTTTGAGAAAAGGTCTTGGGAACTCACTAAATTGCCCAGATTGAGCTGGAACTTAAGAGTCTCCTGCCTCAGTCTTTCAGAATGTTGGAATAATAGGCATGCACCTTTTTTTTTTTTTGTACCAGGGAGCAAACTCAGGACCTTGCACATGCCAGGCTGGTACTTATGCTGCTGAGCTATCTCCCCAGCCCATGCACCTTATTTTTTTAATCTGTAATCTGTACTGAGAAGACAATAAAAGTATATAGGGTCCTGCTATAAAAAATCATCCCTAGATATGACCTACCTTTGATCACTGGCAGCAACAATGAGCCTGAATTTATAGCAAAGGTAACTCAAAATTTAGATTAAATAAAAACTACATATAGCTTGTAACCAGTTAAAAGATCAACTATATCTGCAGACATTCCTGCACACACATATAACCCAGGAATGTACTAACTACCTCTACAAGTTTCAGAAATCCAACCTTAGATTTACTGAAAAATTTACCTGGACCAGACAGCTTACTCTGAAGACAACAAACTCAAAGCCCTGCTCTGGTCACTCTGGATGCTGGCCAGTGCATACACAGCTGAAGCCTGAGGACATCATTCACAGGATTGCTCCATACCTATCCCCCTCCCCTTGATTTTTGAGTCTTTTTAGGCTGCTTACCCTTGTCCTTGCATCCTGCCCCTTGCTAGCTATGCTTTTGCCTTAAACTCTATGGACAACTGCCCCAAGAAAATATAACAATCAACCAAATACTTGACCAAGATTTGATGAGTATTCAAGGCTCACTGGACACTCTCCTAGACCAGATTAAATCCCTCACTATATTTCCAGAGTAATGTTACAGAAGAGACAGGCCTAAATTATGTCTCTTCCTAAAAAGCAACTTAGAGAAAAACCACAATAAGATAATCCTGGGGACCTTGGCTAGGGCCACTGACAGCCCTAATGTTACTGCTTCTGGTTGAGCCTTGTCTCGGAAGATCACATGTAATATGCCCAAAGATTGGTCGGGGAAAATTAAATGAGGGGGAAAATATGCCAGTATTTTTGTTTCTTAGTTTCCTAGGCAATAGTTCTTGTTGCAGTTCTGGTTGCTTATGTCTCCTAGAATAGCTGGTCACTGTGATACATAACTGGTCATTATGATGCACATGGTAAGAACCAATTCCCAACTGATAAATCATTCTCTGTACTTCCTGCTTGCTTATCCCACATAAGTTCCAGACCAGCAGAGATGAGGGCCTGATATTGTGAGAATGATCCTGATCAGTGCCAGTCAATGTAAATAAATCTGTCTCCAAATACTGGGTGTTGGGCTGGCGAGAAAGCTCTGCTGACTAAGCACTTGCTTAGGCAAGCACAGGGACCAGGGTTTAATCCCTGGCACCACATGTTGGGCCAGCCCTGCCCCCTAGTGCGATGAGCTAGCCACCAGTCAGGGTGTGGTGGTGCATGCCTATAATCCCAGTGCTGGAGAGGCTGAAAACAGAAGGATCACTATGACTCTGAGCTGCGTAGTGAGACCCTGTAGCAAATACATACATTTTTAAAAATTTAAAAATACTGGATACTGTTTTGGTGCTTCTTTTTGCTGCTACAATATGAACATGCAATTACTGGCAAAGGTGGTATTAAGTTGGTGAGGAAAAGATGAACTAGTTGATGGCATTGAGAGTTAACACTTTTTTTTGTCTTTCTGAGACAGGGTTTCACTATGCAGTTCAGGCTTCCTTAAACTCACTTGGCAATCTAGGTGGCCTAGAACTCAGTGATCCTCCTGTCTTAGCCTCTCAAGTACTCAGATTACAGCTGTGCACCCACCTCCCTCCCCAACAAACATGTTTTGTTTCATTTTGTCAGTTTGAGACAGGGTCTCGCTATGCAGTTTATTTTATTTTTTTATATTTTAGGGAAAGGTCTACAGGGTATTCAGGGCCTCAGTACTAGATCAGAGAACTCGTAGTGATCTGCCTGTTTACAGCCTCCCAAGAGCTGGGATTAGCCACCATGCTGTCTCAAATGCTGTCTCAGCGTACCCTGGGGTTGGCAGTGGGGCCAACAAAGCTAGCTTGGGGATTGCTTTAATCCACTGAGCTATTTGGACATCCCTTGCTAAGCAGTTTATACTGGCCTTGCGCTCACTTTGCAGCCCAGGCTGGTCTGGAACTCAAAATTTCTCCTGCCTCAGCCTCCCAAGTGCTAAAATTACAGGCATGTGCCACCACACCCATCTCTAAACAATTTATTGAAAGCAGAACTTCTAAATTTTCCTCTTTCCAATTTTGAGGGGAAAAATAGTTACCTATCTCAATGTAGACATAAAAATACCTTACTATGCCTCAGGAATTTTTTTTTTTTTTTTTTTTTTTTCAGAACTGGGGACTAAACTCAGGACCTTGTGCTTGTCAGGCAAGCACTTACTCTACTGAGCTATCTCCCCAACCCTGTCAGGATATTATTGAGCTAAATGTAAAAACAAAACTTAAGAAAGCACTGGTGGATGCCCCAGGTGCCACTGGGTTCCCCTTGGGGACGAATGTTTGCAGAGTAGGATACACTGGACTCTAGCTCTGGCACCTGGGGTGTGTGGTCTGTGTGAGGGAGACCATACTTTGCAGCAGGGCTGTGCCAAGGGGCTCTTTTCATTAATAAAACAAAGACTGGGTTCTCCCATAGGCCAGTGCTACAGAACAAGATGAATCAGGGGCCAGGGAGATAACTCAGTAGAGTAAGTGCTTGCCTGGCAAGTGTAAGGGCCTGAGTTCAATCTCTGGTTCTGGAAAAAACAAAAAAATAATGAATCAGCCCCCCATAGATGCTACTAAACAGAGAC